AAGGATTGAGATAATGAATCGTTGATTATTATTTTTACAACTTGGAATGAAGGGGTCAAATAATGAATGGATGACGATGAAAATTGTCAATGTTATAATATCGTGAAAAAAAATCATAAAATAATCTGCTTGGTATTGTTTCGAAGCGTAAAGCTTCGATTTTGTAAGCTGTACTGGAAACGAATACAAAGTACGAAATATGAAGCAAAGAGTTGTTTTATTAGTGAATAGTGAAATGATCGAAAATCAGTTGCTTTGATACAAAAGTAGATATAAAGTAACATGAAATTATTTTATTAATATAATATACATTGTGATATATATATTATATACATTATGATATATATATATACATTAATATATACAAATACAAGTACATATATAAGTTCAAATAATTAATTTCAAATTCAAACGAAACACTCTCTTGTATCCATCAAAGAAATTATATATTCCCAAAGATCACAAAACTTGCAATACGTAAGTTCAATATTCAATATTTTTACAAACATATCAGAAAATGTAAAAGACATCACACAATACATATCCTATTTGATTGAAACTATACTTCTTTGAATTAAATTTATATCGACTAGACATGTGATGCAATTAGTTATAAAAGCATCCGAACATTTCATATCGAAACCATAACTCAACTTTTCCTAGTTTGCACGTAATCTATACTCGGATCAAACAAGTATGATGACTCTAACGCGTTTCGCACGTTGATAAATAAATAAAAAAAAAAAAAAAATTGAAGGAATAAAACGTTGTTAAATAAAGTTGGAAATTAAAGTTTATTGAAATAAGGATTGACAGAAAAATAAAGAGTTTTAATACTGCGGTAACAAAAGAAAGATTAATACGAAATTTCGACTCTGTCTGCTGAATTGTTCCTCGAAACCTTCGTTCTCTAACACATTCACGCACACGTAACACCCTTAATATTTTTGAGTCTTGACAAATATTCCCAGACCTAGCTTTCGCTCCAGATGGCGACAAACATTGTCATTGTTGGCCACAAAATGAAATATCTTCCGCAAAAAAAAAAAAAAAA